TTTTTTTTCCCTCACGTTTCCCCACCCCCTGTGACCGGCATCTTCAGAGTGCAGGAACACAGACAGGAGCAGTTCTCTCTGTGCCCAGGAGTCATATGCCAGCCGTGAAAGCCTTCGACAATACAGATACAATACAGATCCCTGAAGTCTTTCCAAGAATTGCTACCCCATTGTATTTCTCAACACAGCAGGAGGAAATGCTGAAATAATGTCCTACGAACAACATTTAATTCATTTCACTGAACTGAAACAAAATCCTTCCACAGAGCTAGGACGAGGATGTTCTCTCCTAAACCTGCTAGAGCAGGGGAACATTTTTCTCCTCTTACAGTCATTTAGTCTTTGTGTAAAAGAATCAAAAAGAACTCAAGGTATGTTGGCTATCTTGTTCTTCGTGTTTTCTTTACACCCATTAACCTTTGCCACCATCTCTTCCTTTTCTTAACTAACAGGGTAATATTCTGTCAGGTATTTGACAAAATGGATAATAAAATCTTATAGGGCATCATTGTATGGTGGGAAGAATCATTGAATACAGGGAGATTTCTAGACAAATACCTATATGGTTGAATTGTTCGATTTCAAAGTGTCCGATTTTTATTTTTCGGTATGCTTCTGTCCCACAATTGACGAAATTAGTACTAAACTTTGAAGAATCAAACTACCAAGGAGAATCAAACTGCAAAGGAGATGTAGTTAGAAGGAGCAACTGTCATACACCCCTAAAAAAAACAACACCCAAAGCAGAATAGAATACTTAAGAACAGTATTTACAAACAGTAGTGTTTTGGGAGAGAAAGTAGGAACAAAGTATATTCCTTAAAAAATGTGGTTTCTATATTTCTTCACTGCCAGGGGAAGATAAATAGTGTGACACAAGAAGAGGACTTGGTAAACAGAGTGAATTTAACGAGGATAGGTGCCATGAGACCCATGCATTTGCAAATGGTCTTTGTTTCCTTATTTATAAAAGAGTGAAACCATAAAACAAAACAATAATTTCAGCTAACACTTTGATGGCTCTGTGTTAATTGTAATTAACAGCTCTCCACAAGATTGCTGTTTTGACCAACATCTAGAAAGCCAGATCAGGGCAAGTCAGACTTCCTGTGGATGGCTATTCCACAAAACAGGGTTGTGAAGCATTTCCGAGCCTCAGCCCTTCTAATTTCCATACTATACAATACATTAATAAAATAAAGTTCTATTTCTGACTCTGAGAGTACACAAAATGCAACTTGCAGGTTGCGGTGTTGCTTACAAACAGCTCTTGGGGGACCAACATGGGCTAGCAGTTAGGATGCTGGACTATGACTTTGTGGCTTAGGTTCAAGTCCACATGCCTAAGGAAGCTCATCATCTCTCAGGGTTGAGAGGATAAAATTGGAGGACTACGAAGGTGGCCACTCTGAGACCCTAAAGGAAAGATGGGACAGAAATCTGGGCAAAAAATGTAAAGACCTCCAGGACTGAATTTGCAAAATACATAGGGGCTGATGAAATTTATTGTAAGATAAATGGAAGGCATTTTACTCTCTTGAGCTTCCTTTTATCTGCAAGTGTGCCAGGACTGGACTGTCCTTCTCCCTTTGCCAAAATAGCTTCTGGGGCTTTGTCCTAGCCCAGAAATGAATCACTGCTTAGATATTTTGTTGGCTGGCTTATTTGGTATGTATTATTCTTCACCAGTATTTTTTTAGTGCCCAGCTCGAATTGGTTTCTTCTCAAGTTCTAAAAGCAAAATAACATCAACCTAAACAAATTTAATTCAGTTAGGAATTTAGAAGCACCCCAGTCATCCAAAGAACCAAACACAATGAATCCCCCAATTCCTGTTCAAATAATGTCGTCTTAAGAGCCATGGAAGGACTAACAGGGAAAGTGCCAAGATCTCCCTCCGTGGACAATGGGAATGTTGTCCCAGGAACTGGGAGGGGGGTGGTGGTTCTAGCCTGACATGCAATTTTGCCCAATAAACACACCAGGGTGGAAATAATAAAGTATATATTCTGCGCAGAATAAGGTGGCTGGGAATAATTTCCAGACCAGGCACACACATTTGTCAATCCACACAACTTTTACACATTCTTGAAACAAAGAACTACATGATCATTGGCAGATGGTAATTATTCACACCCTTGAGTGGACAAAACACTCCCAAAAGGTGGGCACTACTGCTCAAAAGTGGGCGCTTGTTGTTGCTAAGGGAAATATGAGTAGGTGGTTTCTAATCTTTCTCCTTGTTAGCGCAAGTGAGCAAACTGGTTGCTCCTGTGGGGAGGTATCACTGTACTGGCCCTTCTCAGCTCTAATTGATAAGAAATGGTATATTCAAAGAGAAAATAATTTGGAGGGTTTGCAACTTCATTATCTGTTCTGTTCCCATCAGCTAGTGAAGGTCTGTGAAGGTCAATTCTGGGCCATACATGTTGATGCTGCCTTCTTCAAATTAACCCTAAAATCACCATTCCACCAGGAAGAATCGCCTTTGGGCCCAGGTCCCATTGAATTCTCATGGGAACAGGACCCTCAGTGTCCCTCTGGGCAAGTGCTCGTGGGCAGAACGGATCCTCTGGAGAGTTAGAGGTCAAAACCAGCACTTGAATCACACATGGAAGCAGT